AGGCTGGCTCAAATCATTGGAAGCGATGGCTAAATTGCATGATTTGGCTTTCAATTGTTATTTTGAAACAAAAAATAATAATAATAATAAAATCAATTTCGAAAATTAAATGTGTTGTTCGTACACGCGCTTTGAACCATTTTTTAAATATTTACAGATAATACTTAAAGTTTTGTTTATTTTTTATATTCTTAAACGTCGTTGAAGTATGAATAAGTGGGCGAACAACAATAACTACAAAAAATAATTCGAAACTGACGGTTGTGGTCAAGTCACACCATAATAATTTAAAATAGGTTGTTGTTATTCTGTGCTCGTTTTGCCTCGTGAGCATTAGATTGGCCCCCTGCAGAGTGACATCTTATCGCTCGTGACATTCAGATATTCGTATGGAATCGTAATCGGCTGCTGCCATATCAGCTGTGCCAAGATCAGTAAAGTTTGAAGGAAAGTTTTTTTTTAATAATTCCTCAATTTGTTGTTTTTGATTTATGCTCTTATCGTATTTATTATAAAAGATCGTAAATTTTATTTTAACCTCTATATCTAATCACCAAATTGTTTATAGAAATATCATGCCAATAAACTCGTAAGTGTGTACATATTAGGATGGAGCGAAAAAATAATATTTTTTTTTGCTTAGCCTGAGAATAAAATCTGTAGATTATAAAAAAAAGAAAATTCTTTGACAAAAAAAAATTTTTTTAACATCTCGGTTTTAAAGTAAATTTCGAATTAAAATTTTTTTTGGACCAGAATTTTTTTTTTTTTGGTTTCAAATCTTCACATTTATATAAAAATTATCAAATTTGAAGGTTTTTGACTCTAATTTTATTTTAACGCTTAATGAAAGCATGTTATCGTTTAAGACTTTTTTTTTAAACTCCTATAATGGCCAAAATATTTTTTTAAGTTGATAACTTTTAATTGGGCAGAAAGAGGACTCTCCACAGCTTCTAGAACACTTATCAAAAACTTTTTACGAAATAATAATTTCAACTCGAAAATTTACTTTAAAAGAGCCGCCTCTAGATGTTAAAAATTTTTTTCTTTTTTGTCGAAAGATTTTTTTATTTTACAATCTACAAATTTTACCCTCAGGCTAAGCAAAACAAAAAAAAAATTTCGCTCCACCCTAGTACATATGTACTCCTAGCTACTTACACCGGAAAACTGAATTGGCTGAACACTCGCGCTCCCATTTATTGGCGCATAATTATTATGCTTAGTATTGTTTTTTTTTATTGCTTAAAGATATCTTAAAACAAGAGCGATATTTTTGTTTTTTGATTTCTGCGCACTTTTGTAAATTTGTTGTTTTTGCGATTTCAATAGTTATTTACTTACCTGCATGGGATAGGCACGTCGGTTCGAGGGCTGTACTATGACCTTGACACCCTGTTTTACTAATTTTTGCACATGCGAAGGCCCGAATGGCGCTCGTCGCTCCCAAACGGATTGATCTTCTCGTCGTATAGCAATAACTTTGCCGTGCTGAATAAAAAAAATTAATAAAATGTATAAAAAACCGAGATGCAGTAATATCCAAAAGGTAATAAGGTGAACTAGGTCTTTAAACAGTATTAATTTACGAGTTCTTAACCAAATTATCACACCACTTCGTAATTAAGCTGACTTGAACTATAACTCCAGCCTAACGTGAAGTTTTTTTTAATTTTTTTTTATTGACTTCTTGTTAGTCATAGAATCTGAGGGTTAAAAGGAGTAAATACCGTTACAATTTTATATGCATATGGTAGATACCGTTATTTCACTAATTAATTCAGTACAATATTATTTATATTGCGCACGTATTTAATTTGGAATACTTGGACACGTAGAAAACGCGAACTATTATTTTGTATACACTATTAGGAGGTCAAAAGTACCCGCTATTCATCATGTCATATACTTGTATGTATATCATATATGTAAATCACATTTCATTACTCACATGACGCCATCTATTAAATGACTTTGTTGCTCCATCCTTGACTGTTATCAAATTGCTTTTTGTTGCTGAGGCCGTTGCAACAGTCACTGATAGTGTGGCACGAGACTGCAGCAATCGCATCATCTTATTGCCTATGTCTAAAAACTCATATACTCGTTGCTAAATTGAATATTTCGTAAACTTTTAATCTGCCACTTTTATGTATGTACTGCATATGTACGAGCGCTTATGTATGTAAACTTATCAACAACACAGCGGAAATAATTTCACTTTTAAAATTACAAGTTGGACTTTATTTTCTCTTCGAGACACTGACTTTCGATCCGCTTCCTTCGGGAGTTTAAAACGTTCTAATCGACACTGGAGACGACGAGCCCCTATCAGCTACCCAGCAGCAGCAAAATTTCATGCGAAATCGGAAATCTCTTATGCCCGAAAAATAAACAGCATAAAATAGATTATTCATGTACATATCAGGTTATAGAATTGCTCTCAATACACTGCTTACTGATAAGGCGACCCGGGAATATCAATAAACGTCAGATGTCCATATACATACATAGGTACTTATATATTATACATAAAGTATGTATGCATATGTGTGGTGTGTAATTTTCTCAAAATTTATGCGCGTCTTACTATCAACCATTCCGATCTACAACATTCTCTTGTTAACAAAAGAATCATGTTTCTCAAAGATTAAAAAAAGCAGTTTCTTAGAGATTAGGACATTTGAAAGATTCTGGCATTCACATACGTACATATTGTCAATAAATTATCACTACAAATAATACTTCAATTTACTACACATTTTTAATTTAATTTGTGGTTTTATTCAGTATAATTTTTCCCCACTTTCATCGCGACTTTTCAACAATTATTTTTGTTTGTTTGTGAATTTGGACTTTTTTTTTAAATTGCTTTCTTAAGTTGCGATTTTCTTATTCAACATTACATTACAGTAATTTTCCCACTTTTCCATGCCTTACTTATAATAAGATTTGCTAGATTCAGTCTCTTAATAATGACCTTTGGCGAGGTCAATAACCCCAGTGTTTACATTAAGCGCTGTCAAAAACCTTTACTGAGGTCAATGATCGTTTTGTTTACATTTAGCGGAGTCAACAACCCTTCCTGCGGTCAATAACCTATGGTAAGTTCAATGACCCTATCTATTTTATTTAACGAGGTCAATTACCCTTCCTAAAGTTAAAGAGATTTCCAATATTTACATTTAGAAAAGTCAATAATCTTTGAAGAGATCTATAACCCTATTGTTTACATTTAGTAAGGGCAACAATCTTTCCTGAGGTCAATGGCCTATGGGGAGGTCAATGACCCTTTTGTTTACATTTAGCAAAGTCACACTAAAATTCATTGTTCACATTTAGCGAGGTCAACTATCATTCCTGAAGTCAATGCCCTTTTTTTATTTACATTTCCGAAAGGTAACAACCCTTAGCGCCTTAGGTTTGTTGACTACGCTAGAGATCAGTCGGTGGATTCCAGGTTAATCAAAAACGAGGTTAGTTTTGAAATATTTCGTTATTTTTCAGTTAATACGTTAATTTTAAAAAACTGGTGTCATTACAATATATATATGTAAATATGTATATAAGGGCGTAATATATGTTATAGATTTACAATCAATGAAGTTCTACATAAACCTTTGCGATAGAATGGAGACTTTGTCTTGAAGAGGTCAAAGAACATTTGAATATAATTATATTAGCACACACTTCTGATCGATTCAGTCTGCCTGCTGTGTACGTGTATATATATATATGTATTTATCCAAAAAATATATTCTTCCCTGGTGGTCGATGTCCAAATCTACATAATCTCTCTTAATTGTTATGGAATTTTCCATTTAAAACCATTCGACGCAGACAAACACAAATTTCTATTTGGTTGCAGCAGAAGAAATCAGCCTCAGCTCGCATTTATCAATAGAGATGATGTACCACGACTCGTAGTGGCATTTCATTAATGAAAAGCAATTGTATTTTTATAATATTTACATATGATGAGGCACGCACGCCACCAACGCATGCTGATGCTCCGGTTTACTGCTGATAATAGAACACTGATTAAAAAATAGTTTGTGATAAGACTAAATCACTTGTGTTGTTGTTATTATAACGGTTTAAGAAACGGAAAAGAGAGTACATTTGAGGGAGCATGGTATACGGTAGGGAGCATGGAAATCAAGCCATCATTCACGGATACATACTTGAAAGATTATAGCGTACAACTATAAGCAATGCCAGATTCGTGAGGCAACTCGAGTTCTTCGTCTGCAATGGGTGGAGGTTTTACTCCAAGTACGACCTTCACTGGAAGGGTGACGGTGAAGGTATTAATAGCTCCACTGCGAATGGCGTTTAGTGCGTGTCTGAAGATAGTTGCGTCCGTAGTTTGGTCATTAAATTGTTCTATGTCGTCGACGTAAACAAGGAATAATCTCTGGATGCTGTTGTTGTTGTAACGAGTACCTAATCCCCGTTTGGGTGATAAATTCCAGATTGGTTGTCGTCGAGGTCCTCTAACGGAAGGCCCAGGAAACGAGCTGTTTCGACGGGGTCGGACCATAGGGAAAGGGGTGTTAGATGAGTGGGGTTAATCTCTGGATGCTCACAGAAGGCGGTTCCGCTCCAAGCATCCTAGCAGACACTACTTGGAGAGGAGTGCATCGTATTCCTTAACCGGAAGCATGTAAACCTCACTATGGGAGACATCAAAAGGCATGGTACAGAGTGCGTCTGAGTTCTACTGGTAGGCTACTGGACTCATTTTTAATGACAGGCTATCAGGCTCGCCAAACTTATTTGCGTATTGTTTTCTTTCAAGAAGGGAAATGCTTTCAGTGAGAGTCGAAATAACTTTTACACGATTTCATTGTCTTTAAATGAATAGGTTTTTGTTTATTTTATTTTTTAATAATCAGAATGGTTTCTTATACCATAAATATACTTCCCATTTTTTATTTATAAATGTGTATCTATGTAAGTATATGTTTGTTACTTAAAAGCTATAAACAAATAATAAACGCCAACAGACGCAACAATAGCAAAAATCAGTTAATGTGTACTAAAACGGTATATTGATAGTTGATGTCGTGAGTGCAGCTAAATAAGGATCCAACGTCGTAAGCTACAGATTTCAATAGTTTCAATATATTTTAGCAGAATTCTTTCACAATGGATTATCCATTAAACGCACTAAACAACCATTGCTTAAATCAGTGATTAGCGGCATGTAACAGGTATTTTCAATACTATTCTAACATTCAAATTCTTAAAAAAAAATAATAATAAATAGAGAAAAAACAGTTTGCTTTCTTTAGAATCTGTGAATAATTACATTACACTTGCATGTAAGCATATTTGTATTAACATGCCGCGTCCAAAATGTTTCGAATTTAATATAACGGCTAAAGTTCCCATACATTTGTATTGGCGCATATAAACGACGGTGGTGTTAACGTTATCGGAAGATAAACAAACATTGGTTAGATTAATACAAATATTTTAAAAATACATATAGGAAACTGCGCATAAATTTTCAATCGAAAGCAATTCAATTTCTGTCTCCCTTCAAAGTGTCGGCGTTTCGGGTAGCAAAGAAGTGAAAAATGTCACCACAAAAGTGCGCAAAACGGAGATCACAGATGCGGTATTATTGATATTTTCAATGGCTTCAGCTGCCGCTGGCGCAGTACTTTCCGCGCCGGCCGCAACGGTGGCAGCTTGTTGACTGTCGGCAGCAGGATCGGCGGCAGCACCGTCGTTCTCCGGATTACGCCGTTCGTCGGCCTGTGCAGCTTGTTGTACTTGTCGCACACCTCGTCGAATTTGGTCAGCATCCGCTGCATTGTTATTGCGATTGATATTATTGTTGTTGCGCTCATTACGCAGACGCAGCACACCGATGTGGTAGCTACACAAATAGAAATAAGAGATGCATGTAATTAAAGAATAAATAAATATAACAGAGATGACTATTTGACTTACAGATAAATACCACCAGCAATTATGACAACCGCAAGACAGCGCAATGGAGATGAGTTAAAGTACAGAATTGTCAAAAAGATAGCGAGACGTGTAATCGCAAAGAAACTGTCCAACCAATCACGATTCTCTTGTTCCTCCTGCACAATATTGGGAAAACGTGGCGCAACTGCTTGTTGCCGTTCTGGCTGTGCCTGCGCCTGTTGGGGTTGCTCGCCAACAGCCGCCTCCGCAGCTGTGTTGCTCTCCGCAGCGGGCACAGCTTGCGCCAAAGACGCTGCCGATATCACAGGATTGTTAGCGCCGCCGGCAGCTACACCCGCCGTTGTGGTTGGCGCTATAAAAGGCATCTGTTGTAGAAAAGGATTGAAACCCAATGGACTAACACCGACTGCCGGCAAATTGGCTGCTGTGGCTGTTGCTACATTTGGCATAGAAAAATTGGCGATTCCAGTTGGCGTTGACGTGCTAGTAGCCCTATAATTATTGCAATTTCATAAATATAGTTATATATGTTATTTTAAAATCGAAATGATATATATGCGCAATTAATTCACTCACATTCGTGTATACTGTTCCATATATTGCGAATAGACCTGCTGCATCCATTGGTACATAGCAGCTTGTTGTGTGGCCATAGCTTGAATATTGAATTGTCCAGGCATCGGAAAAGGCAACACATTTTGAGAGTTGTTAGGATCATATGTGGGACACGGCAGATTTTGTAATTGTTGATTGAATTGTGGCAACAAAAAGTTCTGCTGCTGTTGCTGGTATTGTTGATAGTACTGTTGTTGTGCATTATATTGAGGTGTAGCGTTTGCAGAATTCGATCCTGCAACATGACGCTGCCGCAGCCCGTCGCTGGTATTACCACTGTGACTCATGTTAGCGGAGGACGAGGAAACGCTAACTTTCGGCTTCTGTTTGAAATTGCTATTTAGAGAGTTTTTCGGTGTATACACTAAATGTATTATGTGATTATGTGTATAGACGTCTTTGTAGCTCCGTATAACATCCTTCAACAGCAAGTTATCATTCAAAAGCTGACCGGAATATATTAGCTTCTGCTCGTCAACGGGCTGTAATGGAAGAAGCAAATGCTACCAATTAACACCTTTAGATATGGGCACCGTTAAGTACATAGAATATATATATATGTACATATATATGTATATTTAATTTGGTTGAAAATGAGACCTAACACAAAACATTTTCAATACTCCTATAATAAGCAAAAGATGCATTATTTGCTCAGTTGTTGTCAGACTTTCTTTGAGTATATTTACTACTTATACATACGTACATGTGTAAGTGGATGTGAGAGTAGAGTGACGTGTCCAATACATTTTCCACGTTAAGCGGTTCAACTAGACTTGGATATATGCACTCGCATAGTTTATCATGTTGTTATTTGAATTCATTTTATTTTTTTTCGGAAAAGCATGAAAAACGTTATTTCATTCGTTTGAGCGAAATGAATGTACGAAAGATTGCATCTGATGCAATTAATAATAGCGTGTAATATAATAACATGGACATTGGCATTTTCAGACTTTAACCTTGTATTTATTTACATAACTAAGCGTAATTTAATACAAATATATACATAGATATGTACAGAAGCAAAAATAAATAATTATATGAATTTTTAAAATTTGCACGCACCAACACTTTAAATTTCAATGGAATATTAAAGGATATTTTCAACAAAAGCGTATTTGTAACGGAAATTTTACATGTATTTAACAATGTTTATGGCATGTATGACATATTTGTATGTCCACGTGGCACTATTTAATATGCATAATTATTAATTATTATATCACCTTAATACGACGATGTTTGAAATATTATTGTTTCTGATAACAAGCCAGCTATAAATAATATGGCCTCACTTTGATCAACCGCTTGAAAGGCACACACTAAATTAAATAAAAATAATATTTGCAAGCAATCAAGAATTTTCTAGCAGTTCTATTCATCTAAATGTTCTAATCAACTGCTATAAAATAACTCACCAAAATATAAATACAGTAAAATACCGTACAATCAGCAACGAATTACGATCTGGAACCTAAAACCTTCGGTCTACGACCGATCGAGATGTTTGCAAAGCGTTTGCTCTACAAATGTAGCTTTATTATACACAACTGAATCCATATATACATATACATAAATAGAAATGTACTTAGGTAGGCAATTGTACTGAGTACACATACAGAAAGCTTACTGGAACATTGATAAGATAAACGATCGCCACACACAAATAAGCGAAGCAAAATAACAAAATGTAGAACTTCGCGTACGGTTACTTTGTTTGTAAATAGAAAATATTATTTTGGTAATTATGCAACGTCGACAATTTATAATGTACATAAAATATACATATATCACCCCACATTTTCGTATACATTTTGTTTTTTATCAAACTTCCCTAATGCTAAAAAAAAAAAAACGTTAGCATAGCAAGGCACGCCAATGAACTTAATTTTTAGCATCATCCCAATCTATGCTCATAATATTGTTTCAAAGGTTGCCGCTGTATAATTATCATTATACAGTTATAAGACTTCTAAAGTTATTATCTACTATTAGCAATAGCTGAAACAATTTGCACCGTCACTTTCATAACAAGAAAAGTTAGTTTTAGAAACAACTATAGAACACTATGTGATAAAATTACACTAGTATAAAAAACAGTAAGCAAAGATGCGCAATGTGTGTAAAAATGTATGCAACAACATAAGCAAAGTTGAATTCTGATAAGAAAAACATGTAGAGATAACCAGTTGGTTATCATATGAAATGAGATAATATGGAATTTCATGTTGTTATAGTTGGTGTAAGCAAACACTCACCGGTTTATTTGGATATACCATTTCCAAATGTGTTTTTAATCGCTTTACCGTCCATAGCAAGTCAATATCGAGGATTTGATCTTCATACTGTTGGTTTGAGGCTTTTATTAATAGTTTAACACTTGTTGCTTTTGCAGTTGTTGTTGTTGTTGGAATAGACGCTGACGCAACACTTCCAGCTGAGTTCACTGTTGATGCAGTTTTTGTAGTCGCCACAGCACTGGCACTATCAGCAACCGCGGCGGCTGAAGACGTTGTGGACGAAGTTGTCGCTGCAGTTGTTTCGTTCATTTTTCAAATTTGCAACCACAATCGATTTTACTTTAATATAATTTGAGATCGCGTAAAATACAAAAACAGAAATTAAATGGAATCTGTGAGCTGTTTTCAATTGTTTGATTGTTTTGTTTTGTTTCCGACCCAATATTAATTAACTTTCGCAGATATTCAGTTTTCTTTCTACACAACGCTTTTGGCAAATATTTAACAACTGTTTCAGTTGAATAATCTTCGGTTACTGATGTTTATAAGCGACTCTCATCTATTTTTAGTAATAAAATTATTTAATTTTTCTGCTTCACACTTCACACATGTGTCCCACCTTACACTGTTGCCTCCTTCCGCAGTTTCTAAATAGCAATTTTTTTCTCTTGTGCTTGCTTTTCGTATGCGTATTGAAATTTCAATTGCTCGGCCTCACGTCACTATAATTATTCTTCACAATTGCGCGTTTTATTTTCGAATATTATATGTTGCACTAGTTCTGATTGTAATGTTTATTTAACTTAAAAATTTTGTGAGATTTTCCATAAAAATGTTTGCAAATCACAAAGAAAAGTCGATTTTCACACAATTTTTTCACTTTTGGCAGTTTTCCTTCGTCTACTCGTTTTATTCGTTTCTACTTGATTCACTTACGTTTTCTGGTAGCACTGCCGCGGCGTAAAACCGAAAACAAGCAGCACTAATTTGCGGATAAATTTTCAGAAAAAGTTCTTTCAAAGTAAAGATTTTGCTACAAATGTTTCAGGGAGTACTTTTAGAAACTATCAGCAAAAATATTCAATAAAATATGTATACGAAACAACATTCACATCTGACCACATATGTGCGAAATTAAATGGTAATAATAAATTACCCCCAGGAAAAAAATCGGCCCTATCCCCTTTTGTCTTCCCTGCGCAATTTATTTCTTCTGTTATCGCGCTTTCTTTCATATTTGCACTTTTCAAACACACACAATTATCTTTGGATTCACACATTTGGTCATTTCTGATTGGTGGTTGGATGATTAAATTTATATGTATTGGAATCATATATTATGAATGCAACACCCTACCGTCCCTGCCAATAAAAGATTCTTCGAACGTAAAAGAAATGTTCGTCATGTGATTAATATATGTAAATAAGACTATGTTAATATAAAATAAAAATAATTCCTATGAGGCATGGAATTGAAGCCTTGTACTGCTATAAATGTTACCGAAAAAATGGTCATGCTCCGCTAAAAAGTGAACATAGCAATAAACTTATGAAAAGGAGCCGCAAGTCCAATTGAATTACTTTTTATATTGGCAATACAATAAATAGGTGGCAACATTAGAAGGAAGCTAAAATTTGTAAGGCGTGTTTCCTTATCCAAAAACAAATGAGAAACTAAACTTGGAAAACTCACTTGGAAAATAAATGTCAAACTCGAAATATGTGCAAAACTTATTTTATTTTAAGAAATTTATGTGGTAGATAGGGCTACACCAAAACGAGTTCCTTTTCCGCTGTTGTCGAGTCTACGTAACGGACATGGACAACTTTTCACTTCATCTCGTACCAGCTATTAGGAATACCTTTAAAATTTTTATTCAAGCGGATGTACACTGTATGTATTTGCACTTTTTTCTGATTTTGTGTTACCTTTTTTTATTATGATGATTTTTTCTAATACGGTTTGATTTTAGCAACATTTATAAACTTCTCATGGCATTATATCGAATTGTAGTCTTTATTGAAACATCGTTACGTGTAAAAGAAATACAAATTAAATTTTTTCCATTTAAGTATTCGCATTGATATTTTGGTCTTTTTTTTTAATAATTTAATTTGTTATTGCATATCTTTCACTATATTCTACATCAAAATAGATCTTTTGGTTATTTCTTTATCTCCTAGCATTTTCTGATGATTTAATTTTCGTTATCGTTATTGTTAATGCGTTATATAGAAGTAAAACTTACATACATACATACATATATACTAAAAAGTTTCAAGTATTTTCCTTTGATGAATGTTGTTCGCTACTTTTAAAAGTACATATTTATAACTAATTATTACTAATTCATATATGAACGCTTATCAAACACAATTGATTCGATTTTACTTATAAAAAATATGTATTATTAAATACGTATGGAAAACTAGAATTATAAGAGCAAAATGTATGAAATATTAACATCACAAAATTGTTTTTTTTTGTTTTTGTTTATACAAAAATATAGTTTGTTGTGTTTAGCAGTGTATTAGCGAGTGATTGATGACAGCGATGTGAGCAACCAAAGTTTGATTAATTTGAAAATCTGTTAATATATAAATATATAATTGAATGCAATTCCTTCATAGGATTTTTTTACACTTATTGCGAATAAAGTTCGTTATAATAGCACAGTAACGAATTATAAAAAAAAATGTATAACCTTTGATGATGAATATTTTAATCGCTTTTATTCGCTTTTTCTTAGCATTAAAAATATCTACATACGTTCCAGAGTGTTCTAAAGTTTTTTCTTTTTTAATTCATATCATGTTATTTGGCCGCTGTATTTTTTTTTTAAATGTCCATATTATATACCAAAGTTCGCACCGCTTCTTCACACGTCCTCGTATTAGTACGTATGTGGTATGTAAAGATTAATTTAAAAGCTACTCAAAATGGTCTTTAACGCTTAACTTGCACAATTCGAGCATATAAAGTATATATAACATTACGGAAAAAAGCCTGCTACATGGCATTTTCGGAAGAAACATTGTACACACTGCTGGAGTTCAATATTCGCATGTTAATGATGCCTTCCTATCAGTTGTATGACGACGTTTTCAGCAAATAATGCAATTAGCTTCGCTATTTTGATTAGAGATTGCACATTTATCTATAATGTCGAACGATTTCATTTGAATTTTGACATTTGGAATGCTGCCAACAGATACTACATCAAAACAGAGGTCTTGAAATAATATGGCGATATATTTGGAAGTACAAACAAGTGTGAAAATTAGTTTGTGTTAAAAGAATGAAAATTATATACCAATAAGCCTAATTTTTCCATAACGCTCTACGCCATACATTTGGTGACGGACATTAATGTACTTCGGTTTTGTTTCCTTGAAGTTACAGGTTTATGGAGCAGACAAGTTAAAAATATGTGCGCTTCATATATATATATATATATATACCTTTTTCGCTTTTTTTTGCTGTACGTCAGTTTTGTATCCGATTTTTTGTTTAATTGATCTAATATACTAGCGAAAATCACGAGAGTATAGCAACAGACCGTCGTGGTCCACCTTGGCTAATGTTGTCCATAGAAGACCACTTTTTTATACCATTTTTTAAAGCTTCGGCTGTTACTTTATCTTGCATAACACGAGACATGGCTTCCAATTTCTGTGCACGTTCTTTAGAAAGTGGTTCCGTAGGGAAGGACAAATCATTCGCCTCGGCAAGCGTGCGTAAATCAAAGTAATATTTGGCGTAGACGGATGAGGGTACATTTATATTGAATTGCAACAGTTCTAGAAATTGACGTTCTAGCTCATTCATATCCTCCACAGTAATGTCTTTTAATATCTGACAATAATCCACATTCCACACTGCCTGGTCATCCCAAACCTTGGAGGCAAGTAATATGGCACCTGTATTAAAAAAAAAACGAGATAACTTAAAATTAGTTACAAAATTTCACATTTAAAAATTCCTTAAGCTTACCCAATACCATTCGCTTCCAATTGCACGGTGCCAAATCCAATTCTGCGTAAGTTAGCAAACGCTCAAGATAGACTAGTGTTATAATGGCGCATTCGGCAGTCAATTGCGCTGCATTGAATAGAGTGCGTACGAACTTGTAAATTTGTCTATGCTCTGGATTATGTGAATCATAATCGTCAGGCACGGCATCGTGAGTCAACGGGTGTAGTTTCTCATCGAAAATATCAAGCCGACGATCCGATTGTCGATTTTTAATATGATAATAAATTGCGAGTGAGACACATTTCACCGTATTTTTCAGATTCGGTTGTGACACAGTGCTATCATCCAAATAGATAGTGGAACAAGAGGAGCTTTTTTTCAAGCCTCCACCAGTTGAATTCGCAGCTTGTTGGGCGATTTGGTGTTGTGAACGTTTTCGGGAAATTCCTCCATTTTCGACTTTGGAGCGTTCGAGAAACATGGTTGCGGCTGTGGGGTCCACAGATGGATCGTCGTCGCCCTCAAGCGCTTCACGTTCCGAAATGTGTTGCAAATTATGAGGGTTGTCCAGTGTGCCAGCACTGTGATGAATAGCCGCCGTGGAAGCAGAAATGTGACCATCTAGCTGATGTTGTGAAGATGAGATGTGATGACTGCTATGTACATGATGACGCTCCTCATAGACGGGTGGAATTTCTTTAGATTTGCGATCTGATTGAGGACTCGCATAAGCGCAACAAGAGTTTTTATTTCCCATTTTTCCACAACGAAATTTCCAAACCACTTAACTATAGAACGATTATGGAATTATATATCTTATGATATATAATAAATTGTAAAGAGATCTATTGAATGCGAGGACATATAAAATTGAGGCCGATAGAGTTAAAATTCGCCTAGGCTGGAATCGAATCTACACTGAATTCATCAATTACAGTTTTTAGTTCATAATTTTTTCCATAAATTGTTGACTAGTTGGGGGTGTTTTTTATTTTATTCAACCAAGTTAAGTATGGTTGTCTTTCTTCAATATTTGGCATACATGTGAACGAGGTTACGTTTAGCAAAGTTGCTAGTTTTGGAGCTTGGATTCATCTGTATATAATGAAATTGTAAATATTGATTTCAATTATCACACACACACACTTGTTTTTTTCCTCAATATTTGGCACATTTATATATATAGCTGCATATTTGCTGATAACCGAGCTCCTTTTTTGATTCTGAAAATATTATTATAGCTATATTAGTTAGCTCTAAAAGTATTTTTTTTTTTATTTGCAAAAGATTATTTTTAGAAAATATATAAAGGACATAAATATATGTACATGAATCAATTTCTATTTTTAATTAAGTTACTGCAGCTGTGGTAGCTACAATTATGAAAAGATTGCGCTAGAAAAACAAATATTTACCATCGAAGAGTTTCTTCTTTTGCTTACGTTCGTAATTACAAAAAGCCGGCAAATATAAATGCCTGCTTACTTATCAATATATATATGCATACATGTTTGTGTACATATTAATTACTGTACGACAATTACAGTATTTACCAAGCTAAAATATTTTTTCTTTTATTTCCTATAGCTGTGCTTTTGGTATAGATTATTATTATTTTTTAAATAATATATAAGTTGCTTTTTGCTGCTTTAACTAAAAAGTTGTTAGGAGTTATTGAAAAAATCAAAATAATGAGTCTTAACTCAACGTAACTGTTCAGTGTGTAGGCGAAGTTGAACCGATCATAGTTAAGACATTGAAAATCTATGGTGTTCGTTCCCAAACTAACCGGATCCCCATATGTATGTATGTATATACGTACGTAGCTGCCACAAAACTATTTAGGAAATTGCTAAGGTGTTGTATGTAAAAACAAGACCAATACGCCGTAAATTTGAGTTTACTTTAAATTTTGCTAACATACAAAAATATATGAATAATTATTTGCGTATGTATCTCACTTTCCGACATCTTTGCAGATTAAGATAAGGGTATAATTAATGAAAAGACTTATGATTGTGGGAAGCTTTATAAAAATGTTGACAAAGTCTATAGCTAACTTTAATGTAACAAGAAACTGGTTGAAATTTACGAATACACGAAATACTAAAATTAAGTTATTTAGATACTAGGATTGCTTTTAAAGAATTATTTGTTTTGCAGCCTACAAAATATTTTAATGCTGCATAGTTTTTAGAATTTGCATAGGTTTCTATATATGAATTGGATACTGAATAAGACTGGCGGTGGCCGAATTGCTTGCAGAATTCGGAGTTTTCTAGCAAGTTTACTCACTTATAGCACATACATTTATAAAGCTTTCAATCCATACCTCCCAATTTATATGCTGATTCATAGATATTTTCTTGATTAATAGTTTTTCCACTTACAAATTTATTTATTTTGCAGTTTACGGCTTTGTCCGTTTGACACCTTGTGAAGGCGTTTGGTGTGGCTCTTCGTAGTATTTGTTGTTGCGGTTGCACAAACTGCAATTCGGCTAATGAAAATCTATCTATAACATCTTTGACTTCTTACATTTTAATATTTTAACACTTCAGTTCATCTTAAATTGAAAATGTCAAAACCGCACGTGTACCACTATTTCTATTAAAAAATAAATACAATTTTATTTTTCTCGCAGAAGTTGCGGTTTTTGTGATTTTTCGGTATTTCGTTTATCGGCTAGACCAGTGTGTTCGTATGCATTGCGCTAGGTTGTATTTTAATGTTTATTTCATAAAGTAACCAAAAGAAGCAGGAAATAGAAAGAGTAAGAAAATTTATAAACAAGACTTGATTTAGGAAAATATGAGAACTTTTCATTATAGGTTTATGCAAATATTTTTAAGATTGAAACGTGCCAACCACTTTTAGCGAATAACGAGCAATTGTGAAACAACTACTGTGTAATGCAACCCTGCCATTAGCAGCTGATGAAATATTATAAAATGATTCTTAAAAAGGTTGCCACATTAATGCGACTATAAGTATCTCTTTCGATTCTTTTCAACTGTAATTTGTTGTTGTGCAGTGTTAGTTTTATACCGATAAGATATAATCTGATTAAAATAGCGAATATCTATGATGATATGAACCTGTCACATTAATATATGGTATACTATGGTTTAATGGTAGCACAGCCTTTAGGATAGGTAGATTGTAACTATTCAGTGAAAACAATGGCACAACCTGAAAGCACTTTATATTAAAAAGTATTTTGAGTAGCTTAAGCAACTTTGTGCTCTTCTTCTTCTTTCGACGCTATATCTTCAACAAACTACGAATTGTCGTAATGCATCCGCCGTGTCTGAACACAATCTAAAGGCTTAAGGCATTCAACTGCATTACGTGTTGAACATACTACTATCCCACAGTAAATCATTAGCAACAATATTTTACATTAAAAAAATATAGGTTATATGTCTAATTGATTAATAATATTATACTTACCACTTTACAACTTCTTTAAACATAACAAATAAGAGACGTCGGTTTTAAAGTATCATTATTTGTATTTAATAATATTCCTCATATGTATAGCATTATTTATTTGTTGCTTTACTATAAATGAAATAATGTAATAAATTACATTTTGTATTTATTCATCAAATCGATATAATCAACGTCATTAAGGTTTAGAGTGTAATTAAAAAGGTCAGTGCCTTCAGTTGAAGTTAATATTGGCTTTAATTTTAAATATAAAAGCACTTTATATAGGTAACAAAACTACATACAATGAAGTTATCCCAGTTTGTGTAATTAAGTAGAAAAAATTCTACTTTATTTAGCAGTAAACTTTGCTTGAGTTCAATTTATAAATCGGTACAGAGAAATAAAAGGAAAACTTGCTAAAATTATTTACAGTTGATTTGTTATTAATATATAAACTTTGAATGTCTGCTTTTTATTGTGGAGATTTTAAATGGATGAAATTTTGATATTAATATTTTTTTTCTTTTCTATCAGTGAAATATTCGCTTCAAAGAAGCTTTTTTTTTAAATATTTTTATATGTATGTATGTGCATTGTTCTGATTATTTAATATATTATTTATCAAGCAGCTAAATCGTAAAACTAATTATTTACCTTAAATGATTGCTTTCTTTCCATGTATGCTTTCCCGTTTTGTTATAACGTAACGCACCCACGACAATTCTACAATATGTAACTAACCTCAAAAGTTTCGAACTTGATAGGGTTCTCGTTTGAGTAAATAATCTACATTTGCTATATGTTCTAATGACTAAACTTGCACTTTGTTACTGCATTAAATTCTATTTTCGATTTTTCAAATACACTTATAAGTTTGCCTTCTTTCAACTTTCTGCCAACAATTTATTTACATAACAAACACGATTAAACGCAATTCCCACATTTACTTTCATACATTTATAATTGTCTTGATTTTTTTGTTTTTGCAAAACTTGCAGTCGGCAAATTCTAAAATTTTTTAAGTGCAGCAAAGTAGAAATGTTTTTTTTTTTTGGAATCAATAAATTTTCGCAAATACTTAAGTAGACACCTATTTCTCATGGTGGCTTGAGGGTTTTAGTATAAATATTTTATATGTAGTCAAGAATTTGCTCATTGGCTTTTATTTTGTACAATTTACAAGAAAGGTGAAGATGGTAGGTTGATAAACTAAATGAAAGTTGTAATAGAGGCACTGAATGTATAGTTTCATAACCGACAGGTGGAACTGTAGTTGTACTAACAAGAAAAGGTTAGGTTATGGCGGATTTTTGTTTTAGCTATGCCATTTTTATGATTGCATTGAAAAGCAATGCAAGAAAAATAGAAAAAAAAAATTATAACAGTTTTATTAAAAGATAAGTGTATGCGAAACTTATGCCAGTGATCTAACTGCAAATGCTGGGAATCGACAAAACGATGATAAAAGTTGGGAAGTTATTCAAGAGTTAAGCTAATAACTGCGAGACAATAGCTAGAGCAAGCCATATAATAATTTACACTATATCTCATTTGAGTTAATTACTCGAACTACACTGGATATGTGACACCGAAGAGGGAACTTACTATGCACCAAAATCTAACATCTCTTTTGCTTATTTCGAAATAGTTATGTATATTCCAGTCGGCTGTAATCGTAAATAGACACAGACAAGCGACAAAGCTGACGCTCCGTGGTTTCAACATAACCACACGAGCACTTCGAGTAATTAAAATATAATTTTTTGTATTATAAAAGTAAGCTTAAATTAATTTTGGATTTGAGAAAAAATTAATTGAAAGTTTTGCATTTTTTGGAAAAAGTAGCTGTCTGAAAAAGTTCCCCACCACTGCTCAGTTAATTAAGTGACCAATGTCTAGCAGCTACTTAGAGCTCTGCCTCAAAATTCTGTTGCTTTGTGCAGTTTTAAGGAATTTTCTGTTTGTAACTGCTAATTTTAATCACATACGTGTATATAAATATATTCAGTTTTAACAAATACATGCGCGTACGTATGTATGCACATTAATTATAATTTATGCATTATTTTATTAGGATTTTGTTGTTTGCTGTACATAATTTATTAAAGTTGCATCATGGACGTGTTTAATTTCAAATTTCACAAAAATTGTACATTTATAAGATCTTTTCCATTTGGTTTTTAAGTGAGTAAGGATTTTCTGCATTTTTAAGCTTAACGGCATTTATTCGGTAATAATGTTTGGCTAGAAATTGTAATGATGCAAATTGCGCTCTGAATTTAATTTTCGCAGAAACACATTCAATTTTCACATTCAATATTCGCCCAAATTATTATTATTATTTTTTTTTTAACATTTAATACCTTTCCCTTTATATCTACAACTTTATGCGCTTTAAATTATAACATGAGCGTACTTTTGTAATTTTACATTTGCTTTAAATACTTTTGTAAAATTCATACATACATATGTACATATATTATATGTCTGTACCACACATATATAGTCAAGGGTGTTATATTTATCTATGCATAATTTTCACAAAATCTACATAGGTCAACCATGATGCTGAGTAAGATCTCTATTGCAAGCTAAAACAGTTAGAGCATTTCCGAGCGGCATAACGGTTGTAGTTCTAGTAGAGGCACAAGTGCCCGCACACGTTTAGCGCCAATTACGACTCGGAATTAGGTCGATCTATGTAAATGCACATAAATAGTTTTATATAAGCGTTGCTATACTTAATTGAAGCCAAGTAAATGTGTACTTGTATGTTGTGTGTACTCACAATGCAGCATATATTATATACTATTTATTCAGTATATATTTACTACCTTAATAAAGCTATGATCCCAATTTCAGCTGATAATATAGGCCAACCTGCTAAGTGTAGTCACCATTGCTCTCTAACGCCAGCGCTCACCTTTCGTTTTTTGTTTTTGCTTTTACACAATTTACGTTTATATTGAGCGCAAAGTATGTTTATACCAATTTTAATGCTCGTATGCGGCAAAGAAAAGAGCAATGGTAACCCTTATACGATATGGTCCTGATATCAGACATTTGAAAACTTTTAACCAAAATTATCTTCTAGTTTCTCATTGCATTTTGAAACAATGTAACGAAAATAAGAAGACAAAGAGAAAACAAAACGAACGACAATCAAACAATTACTTAATAATTATTCAACAGACAACAAAAGTGTCGCGTATAAAAATAAATTTACCATTTACACACACACACACACACACGCACACACACACATTTAATATATGCATGTATGACTGTTTGCTTGCGTTTATTATAAACAATGCGATTATAACATCTCTTATATGCAGCTTATGCGTTTGTATGTGTATTGTAGTATATAAGTACGAGTATTACTCCGTAATCATGTAGGTATATACAAAAGTTAGCTTATCCGTAGTTATGTATAGTGTTTGCGTTTTTGAGTAGCACAAGTAAAAAATACGAGTAGACTAGAGTTTCTAGTATTATGTAAGTAGTGTAGAACAGCAGTTAGGCTACACAAGCACGCAGTTGCAGGGAGTTGCATTCGAAAATTTGAAATCAGGAATTATAGGCAAGGCGTTTATACTTTTCAGGTAATAAACATTTTTGGTACATATAAATATTATAGTGTTTTCAATTACGTTTTTGGTTTTTTGTTTGGAAATATTTATATGGTATTCTTCAAAATATTGTAAGAAATTAAATAAAAAAACAAATTTTTGTTATTTTACGAGTATTTACGTACTACATTATCAACAAAATGTAATAGCAATAATATAATTAAGTTAAGTCTTTAAATATGCTACAAACTTTTGAAATTTATGAAAACTAGAGAAAATTGTAATTTAAAAATCGTATTGCGTATTTTTCTGTTCAATTTTATTTGTAACAATTATTAAGTACTTAAAAATAAATTTGTGTACTGTCATAACTAAATGGAAAAATATTGCTAACAATACTTTTATTAAACTAAAAGTTTAATTAAGCTGCTGATTACGCAGTTTTTAAATACTAAACATTTGTATGCTTCTCGCGTATACCTATATACATATGTACAAGTGGTATACAACAGTTATAGTCACCAACTACATTTTCTCTTTACTTAACTTTGTTTTATATATAATATTTTTAGTTGTTATTTTTGTTTTGCTCACATTACTTCATTTTTCGCACACTGAATTCACTTTTAAGCTTGTTCAATGCTGCTTATATTGCCACATAATTAAAATTGAATAACTGCAGCTAATATTTCTGTTTACATTTAGGGCTGTATGTATATGTATGTGTGCATGCTTATGAATATTTATCATTATTGCTAGTTGATTGAGTTTGTTCAAACACTTTTTGCTTCACAAGCTGTATTTTTTTCCCACGTTCATTAACGGTATATGTCAATAAAAGTGTAAAGTTCTGTTTGTGTTCATAAAAACTTTTTCATAAACTAAATTAATGTAAATTACGCTTTTTTGAACTTTTTTGTATTTGTTTTTGTATTTATTTGTAATAAAGTACATTGCCGCAGACATTTTCATATTTTTTATGTACAAAGCTGCTAATAATTAAATTTCATTATAACATAAACTTAACAATAACTTTGACTTATTGAAACATATTAAAAAAGAACATAACTGTATTGCAATTGTTTGTATGCCCGCAACACAACAATCGTTCGAATTCATGATAGACACACATTATTTCGGTGTATACCTATAAAACAATGTTTTATTTTATAAACAAAACGCAATATATATATATGCATATATGTATATAAACATAGAATTATTATGTATGTATTTGTGTATTTTTGTATTTATTTGCATTAGTTTTGTCTACTTTTCTACACATGTTAGTCTCTATTCAGTTCCAATATGTGGTGTTGCCCTTACTTAAATCAACTGTTATTACGCAGGTTTGCGCTGCCAATCGTGTGTTTATTCCTCACTTTCACCCTCTTTTTGTTGAGCTTTTTCATTGCGAGCAGCCTCCTCTGTTGGCGAAGAAAAATTGCAAAATTTAGTTTAATAGCGTTAAACAAATTGCTTGAGTCATATATATCATAAACATCCACACCAAATTTGCACTTACACTCTACACTGCGTATACGTAACAAATTAGCAACAAGAAAACGGTCTTGTGTAATGGACATGCTCTAGCATGTTCATATAAATTAAGTAATACCAATTCATCAAATTTGTTATCTTATTGCTTATAAAATAATATAGATATATACTAATTAACGGTAATCGCGTAACAAAAGTAACTTCTAAGCAAATCAATATTTTCACTTCTCCCTCTCCACGCATGCACCACACATCTGTCAGTTGTTGTGAGAGTTGACGAGAATGTTGGGCAAATTGCGGTTTTGAACAGCAATAAACTTGCAACTCTCCCACACCCACTCTCTTGTTGGCCAGTCTGTTGGCAGATAAATTCCATTTACAAGCTTACCAAATGTAATTGCCCCGGAGCAGTGATTTGTTTGCGAAAATGGGGAAATCACTTGTGACATGAGCAAATTGGCGCGCCAATTAGGTGAAATTGTAATCATCTATATTGCTGCTGCATGGATGTGTGTGTGCATTTGTAATGCGTATGTGCACACATTTATGTATGAATTTATGTACACACATACATATGTATGTGTATGTGTATGTAAAAGGCAGTTCACTTTTGGAGCTTGTCAGCTTTATGGGTCTGTGAAAATTGGCAGGCAATTGTTATGCAAATGGGTAAGCAGACTTTTTGGTTGCGCTAAACCGATATTTTGCCAGGCGGATGCCTGCAGTCTATTTCATTAGCAAATTCGACAATATATGCACAGACGAATGAACTTGCCTTTTCTGTTGTGAGAGCAAGTTTCTGTGTTTACTTTCTATTGCTCTGGAGAATTGGAGGCAAATTTCAGCAATTTCTAAAAATGGCTGAGAATAAACAAGAAACTGAATGGGGTTGGGTAACAAACAATTCAAAATTTCATTGTGCACTTTCGTATAATAAATCGAGTTTGGGTTAAATGAGAAATTGTTTGCAAATATTAATTCCTACTGAGTTCAAAATGGAGGATATTTGAGAAATATATGTACTACTGGCAGGGTTAGGCTTAACTAACTCTATCAAATTAGGCAGGTTCTAATATGTGTAGATATGGCATTTGCTAGCGACTTCAAAGTTAAGTAGATGAAACCACATAGGGCGGCATGTGAAGTCGGATAAAAATTAGTATCGATCGTTAGAATAAAGTAAAGAAAAGCTCCCTGAGCCGTACAGATTTCTAAATTTTGACTATAGAGAAGAAAACGACTTTAGGTGAAATAAATATTTTGAAGAAGCTCTTAAATTAAAAAAAAAAAACTTCTGGAATCTAATATTAATGCAATTTTATTATACTTTTTATATAGCTAATGCAGCTATATAAAAACTTAATGAAAGAGTAGCGCGCAAATATGTATTAATTAGCTAATGAAATCGATAAATTTGCAGGCAACAACAGTTTGCGAAGGTCAGTCGATGTTTAAGTAGTCCAAATTGCGTTTCGGGTAGCACTGTCGCCGCGGCGCATGAAGGGTCAGAGGACAAACGCTTAATTGAATTTCAATTAATGAACAATTTTGGCAACTTACGCGCAAAAGTACACACAACGTGCGTGTAAAATTTAGTACAAAGGACAACAACAAAAAAAGTAAAAAAAGAATTTGGTTTGGAAGCATGAAATTCTATAAACAAAAACCAAACCAGTTAGGGGAGAGAGCTGTAAGGGTTAAGGGGCTGAGGCGGCAGGTGAAAATGTTGAATTGTTTACAGTTTTACGCTCTGCTGCATTTACAAGTGGCAACAAGCAGTTTTACTCACCTTTTAGTGATTGCTCTTTCCAGATTTTCTTATTATCATTTAGACAGGTAAGCCATGGCTTTCGTATGCTAAACTTGGGCTTTGTACCCGCCGCCTTGGCATTATTGTCTTCTTGTTGTGAAGACGCGGTTGAACTGCTTTCAGTGTCGGTCTTATTGCGAGCGCTTGCAGTCGCGCCATCTACTGGCGCATCACCAGCATCAATACTCGCATTCGACGTCTTACACATGGGCGCCAAAGGGGTCAATACATATTCCAGCATATCGGACATAACTGACAAACTGGGATCCACAATAAAATCAATAAAACCGATTTGCGACTCTGGAAATAGTATGTTGTTGCGGTCGCACATGGGACTAAATGGCAGACCCAGCTCTCGCTCCAAATCTCCCTGCCGAAAGAATTCCTCGAACAACAGCATCGTCCAGCGATGGTGGAGATTCCAACGTTTAGCCGGATGCGAGATATCACAGCAGTGCAGTACCAATGCCATTGCCTTGGACTTGTCCACCGACGCCTCATTTAAGGTGAGCAAATTTCGCATATTCTTTAGCTGCTGGAAATGGAAGGACATATCGGTGGCCAGCACCATGTCAATAATGAGTGTGCGAAACTCGCGAAACTCTTCGCGCGACAAGTTAACCAATATATTGCAATCGTCCTCCTTGAGCAAGCGAAAAGCGGCGCTCACATGATGATTCTCCAATACGGCGCGATCATTGTAGAGTAGTGCCTTTTCGGAACCGGACATAACGTGAAAGTTGTTGGTAGTGCCGGTATGTTCGAAGTCGTGTATGAGAGCGGCAAGTAATGTGGCGAATATTTCCAAATCAGTCAACCAATTCATGAGACCCGTCTGACAGAGTACATAATGCGTCGTTTGGGTAACATCGGCCGCATGTATATTGTTGTGATATGGATTGCGATAGCGGCAATAGCCCTCTTCGACGCGATTCAAAAATATTTCCAATGTGGCAGGAGCTATCTTAAATTTGTGTATGATGCCGTAACGGTTGAGCAAATCGTAGCTGAGGTATTTGATCGGCTGGCCACCGGCTGCCTCCGCCAGGGCAAACACATCAAATGACCAGTCGTCCAAGTTCTGCGTTTGAAAAATTACATACATAGATAAATATGGCAGAGTTTAATGCCCTTTTGTAATGTACAGTTATAAAGTTATTAGCACAAATCTGGGCAAAAAAAAAGTATAAGCTGGCGGACTAAGCTCGTCTTTTTAAAAAGTTTGGAATAAATATAAACTGAAATAACTGTTTCTTCTTCATATTCGTTGGAGAACAACTCAACAGTTTCTTATAAATCGATAAATTGTCATATACTCCACACACTTCGGCACTTACCTTGAGTATTTGGACAACTTCTGGCGGAAATTGCATGAGCGCCGTACGTGAGACACTGCGGTATATTCGATCCACAAATATACCGGCGCGTATGGCGTGGGCGACAGTGCGGAATTTCGGCTTTTCATCGGTTCTCCTGCGTGTGGTCGCTGATTGCCGCGTAAACGTGGAGGCCAACCACTCTCGCACCTCGGGTGGCACAGCATCCGGTTGCACCTCGGATAGTTCGTCATCTTCGTCGGCGAGGCGTCTATTGATTGTTGGAAACGGACATTGTGGCGGGATTATTAAATGGTAACGGGATTGAGTGGTTAAAATGGAGGAAGAGAGAGAATACCAAAAATGTATTATTATTTGAATTCACAATTTTATTGCGCTAAAAGCGTAAGTAAACCAAAACAATATAATTCTTTTTACAATTTTTAATTTAATTAAAGTTAATACATAATAATTAAACAACAATAAAATCAAACTTTTTCATAAAAAAAAAACAAAGCGCACTTCTCATGTGAAGTTGCAAACCAAAGAAAATTCAACAAATTGCATTGTTTTTGGCATTCGCAAATAAAAAAATTGCCAAAATAAATAATTTGCAACGCGCCGCTAAAACTCAAAAGTTGCTAAAGTTTTGTACTTCGCTTTCGTGTTTGTGTTAATTCGAGTTCACTGTTATGTATGCTAGCTTGGTTGCAGAGTTTGAGCGAGAGTGTGTGTGGCAACTGAGGGCGGTGAACGCCACAAAAGAGTAATAGTAAGAAGTAGAGACGAACTGAAACGGAAGTGAAAGTGCGAAAATGCGTAAATAGTTTGCAAACAAAAAATCTGTGTGTTTTGCGCTTAATTGTAGCAATTTGTTTTTAGAGCTTGGTAAGAGTTCTTTGCGAGCCAACCAACACAGACACAGTTATAGCCAATGCAGTTAGTAAGAGCGTGAGAAGTCACGAAGTACACTGGTAACACAGAACAGATAACATATAATAAAAATTATTACAAAGAAAATCAGAAAAAAAACAAAAACAACCAAAAAACCAATTAAAATTTTTCAAATAGTAAAGCAAATAGTTAAAAATTTTGGTATTACAGTAGTAAGTATATAAATTATGTATCGAGTTTGTTTTTACAGTGTAGCTAGAGCGTGTTAATTTTTTAGCAGTTGAAATCAAATCTGTGCGTGAGAGTTTGTATGTACAGCCTTTGTGTTGAACTAAAATTTATTTCATTTAACTTTTAAACCAATATGAATAGACAATATATACATGTGCGTATATACAGTGATGTATTTTTTCAAGTGTATGTACATTAGAGTGGAGCAAAAAAAAATTTTTTTTTGCTTAGCCTGAGGGTAAAATCTGTAGATTATAAAAAAAGAACATTTTTGGACAAAATGAAATTATTTTTTTTCACATCTCAGTTTTAAAGTAAATTTTCAAGTTAAAATTTTTATTTCGTAAAAAATGTTTGATAAGTGTTCTAGAAGCTGTGGAGAGTCCTCTTTCGGGCCAATTAAAAGTTAGCAACTTAAAAAAATTGTTTGTGGTCATTATTGGAGTTTTAAAAAATAATCTTATATGACAACATGCTTTCCTTAAGCGTTAAAATAAATTTTGAGTCAAAAACCGCCACATTCGGTAATTTTTATATAAATGTAAATAGTTAAGCCAAAAATAATTTTTTTTGTTCAAAAAAATTTCAACTCGAAATTTACTTTAATACTAAGTGGGCCGCCTCTAGATGTTAAAAAAATTTTTTTTTGGTCCAAAAATTTTCTTTTTTTATAATCTACAGATTTTACACTCAGGCTAAACAAAAGAAAAATTTTTTCGCTCCACCCTAATGTGCATTTAGTATATATTTATGAGTGAGTGCCTGTCGCGACGTTTATTAAATATGTATGCAGCAAGAATGTTAAAAGTGGCATATATACATACATACATATATAAAGTGTTAAATACTTGAGCTGCATGTATGTTTAAGGGTTTTCAAATATTGTAAATAAAAGTTGTATGCAATATTTACATGTTCGGCGTTAATTTGTAAGAAACACTTTTGAAAACAAATAAAAAGTTTTTTTTTTTTAATTGTGTAAAATAATTGCTTGAAAATAAACGCAATTGTGTGCTTTTCTGTTAAACAATGCACATATGTTAAACAAAATATTTTACTCTATTATTTCTTACTATTTTAAATTACAATTACAACAACGCTACCACTACACACATGTGTATGTGCTTACTGAGTGCAATCTGACTATCAAATGCGTGCAAAAGCCAAAGTGGTTTCATTTATTTTCGCTTCATATCCTCGCTTGTGCTAGTGTGTTACAAGTATTATACATGAAAATAATAATAAAAAACAAAAGGTTTCACATACTCTATATTTGTATGTAATATTATGGCTCTTTACTCAGACACATTTGCCGTTGTGTTATTCAATTCACTTCACTACTGAAAGAGCAAGATTGCTGTGTTCCTAAAGAACATTGGCACATGCAGACATAATGCTACTTTCCTGTGTTGTTCCAACAATATGCTAACAATCAATGAAAAATTAAGAAAAATATACAAAATAAATATTTGTGGCCTTAAACGTTGGCACAAGCAGCACAAATATTTTTGGACCAAATAAGTTGTTCGAAACATTTTCAATGCTTTTGGCTTTCATTACAACACAACAATTTATTTTGAAAGTTCACAATTCTCACATTGTTTTAGTATTCTAGCTTCGGTGTTAAATTTACGCAACGCAGCCTTAACGTGAATAACCAGACTTCACTGTAAATTTTGTGTTGTTGAATTAGGAAACCAAAACCTTTTGCCACACGTACAAAACTTCTGCAGGTTACGCTCAGATTTACTTATGCACACGAAACTTTGCATCACAAGATTTGCACAACTTATGTTAATGGTGTTATTGAAACTTAACAGCTTTTCATGCATTGTGCGTTCCCGTTAAGTTAAAAGTTTCCACATTGCACGTAAATTTAAGCCGTTATAAATTGTGTGGCTCATTTGAAGTATCGAAGTTTTGCGAAAATTATTTAGAAGTACACTAAGTTTTGTTTTTCGTGAATTTGAAAAATTTTAATAAATAAAATAAGAAAAAAAAATAATATCGCACCTTATTTACTAAATATATATCATATAACAAATATATACAAACACATATACCGAATCAAGCTACTAGACTAATTCAAATTTCAACACCACAAGTCTCACTTAAAGGGTTACATGGGTTTCGTCGAGCAAAAAACGCCCTATTTCCAATAATTTTTTTTACATACAAAAAATTAAATATTTTATTCAATCTTTTTATTATTTTGAAGATACATATTTGATAAAGATTTTGTGAAATTTTTAAATGAAAATATTCAAAACTCAGTCATTACGACGTCACTTCCGGTAGTGCCTCGGAAAAAAGATGCTTTCGCGTTGACAGCAGAATTTCTGACAGGATCAGTAAAAGTAAAAAGAAAAAAATACCTATTGGAACTAAGACCATTAACTAGGTATTGGACAACAAAAAAACAAATAGAGTAAAAATTGTATTCTTGGCTGACGTTTTTACAAAACATGCAAATTTTTGTGAAAATTTCTCGACTTTAAATAATTTCAATTGAAAGAAGATAATTGAATTCAAGACCTTGTAAATTATAGCTCAAAGACCTATGTAAAATTGCGTTAAGATCGGCTTTGAAAACACTGTTTCGAGAAAAACGCGGTTTAAAGTTTTAAGTGACTATATAGCTGACCTCGAGCGCGCAACTTTTCAAAGCTGTACCTCCAAAACTACTACTGGGAACAACTTGAGAATTTAGCACACTATTTTAGAGATGTTATATAATGAAATAAGACAACAATTTTTTTTTTGTTTTTTGAAGCCGTGAAACCCATGTCACCGCTTAAGCAATAGAGACACGAAATAATGAAACTGTTTTAGTAGCATAATTGCGAATATCGCACAGCATAAAATATGCTTAATCATTTCCCACAACTTCTTCAGAAGAGTACTGAGCCGCCTCACTGAAAGAATTTTACGAGAAAAGATTTCATAGCTGGCAACTGGCTGTAACCAAGAATTGAACACACGAGCCGAACCACGGTAACCAGATTATAACGAATTCGGCTACCGCGCTTTCACACACACACACACACACCGGATTTGCTACCAAAACATATTCACATAATCTTTCTACACCGCATCCCACTACATCGTTATGTACTGAAATATAATGGCTTATTATGGCCAAACATAAACTCAAATTAAATCAAAAACATAACCAAAATAATGTGTACACAAGCAAAATGGGAATTTTCCTGCGCTTACAGCGCTCTCCCGCTTAATTTCAGATTTAATGAGCACATTTACTATTTCATTAATGTCAACCTTTGTCAATGTATGTGTAAGAGTAGAGCAACAAAATCAGCAACCAGATTGAGCAGTCTGATGGCCAAAACGCCTAAAAGCAGGCAGTAAAAATGAAAATTTTGTTGACAGCTTTCAACTGCAGCGATGTCAACTGCTGTGGCCGCCGATTTACATACGGAATTTCATTATGGTGCAGAACCTTTGATGCTGACAAGCAGTTTGGGTGATGACTGACTGACTGAACGTCTTTTGAGTATTCAAAGTCAAAGTTATACGCATATGCATACAGTCGCTTTGTTTTGCTTTTGTAAGACATTATTGAGGGAATGTCATTATGCAGTGGGTAACACAACAAAGTCACCTTGGTTAAGCAATATTTGAAATTATGGTAGTTATTTACACGGCTGCGGTCACTCATTTCTTTAATGGCCAGTAAACCCTTCATCTCAAGCACCAGCTACAGCGTTTTTACAGTTAGTATGTGATCGAACACGATGTTGTTTATATTTATATACTCGTATTTGATAGCATGAACAGTTTATTTCCAGGAGAACTTCAAAATCTAAGATAGACTATTCTCCCCACGTATATGTTAAATAAAATAATTTATTTTAGCTGAAAGGCAGTCCTTGATCCCAAGGGCCAATGTATATTATTCGATCGCTTACTCTGTGCCCATAATTGAAGGTATGTGTATATATTTTATAACGGTGAAACTTGCGACTTCGTAGAAGGTTAAGAAATTACTCTAGATTGGGTTTCTGAGTGAGTATGATAATTTTGAGAGAGACCTGTAAAATGGGTTCATCATTACTCGCGAAAAAAACGGAGAAAAAATATTATTTTCTCAATGACAGGGGTCAGCTGGTGCCAAGCCCCGAACAG